TGGGGTCTGGAGAAGGTAAGATGTACGCAACCTTACACCTACCCCTGGAAGGGCAGAGAGGTTGTTTCCGATAGACCCTCGGCTAGAGAACGACCGAAAAAAAGGTAATTGCAACAAGTAGGAATAACAGCAAGATGAAATAAGATCAAATCTAAGAATGAAGTCAAGCTCTAGGTAGTAATAGCCATCTATGAATAAAAGATATCATACTAACACTAATGCTAGCAAACTGAGTAAGGCAAAGAGAAACACTCGATTACCTACGAACCTTCTACCCTAATCTTTGACCTCCACACCCCTCATGTCTAGGGCCATGTCCTCAGTCAGCTCCAGTTGCGCCATGTCCTGCCTAATAACCTCTCCCTAAGACTTCCTAAGCCTCTATCCCTCCTGCTGCCCACAGAGGCTAACCGCTCGCACCTTCTAACTGGGGCTTCTGTACTTCTCCTTTTAATATGTCCGAATCATCTCAACCTCGCCTCCCGCATCTTGTCCTCCACAGGGGTCAATCCCGCCTTTTTCCAAATAACTTCATTCCTAATCTTATCCAACCGGGTTGCCCACACATCCACCTTAACATCCTCATCTCAGCTACTTTTAGCTTCTGGGTATGCGAGTTCTTGACCGGCCAACTCTCTGCTCTATACAACATAGTCGGTCTAACTAAAACCTTGTATCATCCATCCTGCTCCGATACGATGTGTGACATCTTCATCAATCTCTCCGTTACCTTGTATTACAGATCCAAGGTACTTGAAACTACCTCTCTTGGGGATGACTTGCATATCAAGCATCACCTCCATATCCCCCTCCTGGGTACCATTGCTGAACTTACACTCCATGTATTCGGTCTTGGTCGTGCTCAACTTGAAACCCTTAGATTCTAGGGTCTACCTCTAAACCTCCAGCCTCTCGTTAACACCACCCCGCGTTTCGTCAATTAAAACTATGTCATTCGCAAATAACATACACCATGGCACTTCACCTTGAATATGTCTCGTCATGCTTCCATCGCCAAGAAAAATAGGAATGGATAAGAGTTGATCCCTGGTGCAACCCCATCATAGCTGGTAAGTGTTCCGAGTCTACTCCCGCTACCCTAACCCGAGTCTTAGCTTCACCATACATGTCCTTAGTCACCCTAATGTAGGCTACTGGGACCCCTTTAGCCTCCAAGCATCGGCGGAGCACTTCTCTAGGGACTTTGTCATATGTTTTCTCTAGGTCAATGAACATCACGTGCAAGTCCTTCTTCATCTCCCTATACCGATCCACTAATCTCCTCACAATGTGAATGACTTTCATAGTCGAACGCCCCGGCATGAAATCGAACTGGTTCTCAGAAATGGACACACTGGTCCTCACCCTCACTTTGAACACCCTCTCCCAAACTTTCATAGTATGACTTAGCAGCTTAATCCCCCTATAATTATTGCAATTTTGGATATCTCCCTTGTTTTTATACAGAGGAATCATCGTACACCACCTCCATTCATCGGGCATCTTCTTCATCCTAAAAATGACGTTAAACAACCTAGTGAGCCACTTCAAACCTGCCCTACCTACATTCTTCCCAAATTCCACAGGTATTTCATCTGGCCCAGTAGCTATACCCCTATGCAACTTACGCATAGCCTTCTCGACCTCCTTTACTCTTATGCGCCTACAGTACCCGAAATTCTGGCGCATTTCGGAGTGCTCCAAGTCGCCTAACACAATGTCCCTATCGCCCTCTTCGTTCAGAAGTTTATGGAAATATGTCTTCCATCTTCGTATAATCTGAGCCTTTTCCATCAAAACCCTACCTTCCTAATCTTTGATACAATTAACTTGATCCAGATCACGAGCCTTCCTCTCTCTCACCTTGGCTAGCCTATATAGCTTCTCGTCCCTGCTTTTGGCCCCAAGCTCTTCATACAAACACCCAAACGCCGCAGTCTTAGCCGCAGTAACCGCTAACTTTGCCTCCTTCTTAGCCCTCCTATACCCCTCCATGTTCATCCTCTTCGCCTCCTCGTCCATGTTCTCTATAAGCGTCAAGTACGCCGCTTGCTTGGCTTCCACTTTTTCTTGTACCTCCTCACTCCACCACCAGTCACCTTTGTGGCCGTCAGAGAACCCTTCGAAACCCCTAACACTTCTCTCGCAGCTACTCTAATACACTCTGTTGTCGTGGTCCACATACAACTCGCGTCCCCATTGCTCCTCCAGGCTTCTATAGCCAACAACTTCCCCCAACTCCTATGCTTTGTCACTAGTCAAAGCACCTCACATGATCCTGGCTTGATCATACACGGCCCTCTTCTTCCTCTTCCTCATGATCTCTAAGTCTATCACCAATAATCTATGCTGAGTTGTGAGATTCTCGCTCAGTATAACCTTGCAATGCATAGACTCCTATCACACTTCCGGAGGAGTAGATAATCAATTTAAGTCTTGGCCAACGAACTCCGAAATGTAACCAAGTGCTCCTCCCTTTTTGGAAAACACGAGTTGGCAATCACCAAATCAAAGGCTTTAGCACAGTCCAACAACGAAGTACCTCCTCCTTTCCTAACTCCAAAGCCAAAGTCATAATGCACACCGTCATACCCCCAAATGTCGCACCAATGTGACCATTGCAGTCACCTCCTATAAATAACTTCTCGGTGAACGGAATGCCACGTACCAACCCTTCAAATTCTTCCCAGAAGCGCCTCTTAATCTTCTCGTCCAAACCCACTTAAGGCCCGTAAGCACTAATCACATTTAAAGTAGACCCTCCCACAACCAGCTTAATAGCCATCAGCCTGTCGTTCACCCTCCTAATTTCTACCACTAGCTCCCTAAGATCCTTGTCAACCAAGATACCTACCCCATTCTAACCTCTCTCGTGTCCTGAGACCCACAATTTAAACCCATCAGCAATCTCGAGCCTTCGAACCCACCCATCTAGTCTACTGGACACGAGCTTGTTGATCTTACTCTTCTGGAGGATCTTCATTAAAACTGGAACTTCTTATATTTAATTTTATGAAACTTAAAAAATAAATAAACCTTTTTTGGTCAGTTCTGAAAATATTGGATTTGAATTCGTATTATAGCTACTTATTCATATATTTCTAGTATATTTTCCTTCTCCATGAAAGTGGTAAAAAAATACCTATCGATGTAATAAATTCTAACACAATTTCAAATCATCTCAAATGAACATGGAGACTTTTACAAGGTCTCCATATTTATTATGTATTTCCTATGTTTTACAAGGTCTCCGTATCATCTCAAATGAACATGGAGACTTTTATGTATTTGATAAAGCTTATAAATGCATAACAATTAGAAAATGCATTTATCAGAAATATTCAATTGTGATGAGTACGAAATATTTATTATATATCTATACTAACGTAATATTTCCTATGTTTGTTATCTTTTCTGAAGTTTATAAAAAATTTAAGACAGTGAATTTCTAATTTTTAAAATATACAATTTCCTTCAAGTTTGTCTTTGTAATGCAAACTTCTTTCAACCAGAGGCGGATTCGGAATATTAAGAAGATGGATGCACTATTACAAAGAGATGAATCAAAGATTTATACATAACAAGTTCACACTTTAGCTTCTTACCATGAATTCATTATCATTTTAAAGTTATAGGTTAAAATTAAATTTTCCGTTGCATTTTTAGTGATTTAACATATATATTATACTTCGTACTAAAATTGTCAGGGTCACTGAACCATTAACTATATGCTACCTCCTCCCTTGCTATTAGTTTTAATATAGATATTTGATTTAATTATATAAAATTTTGAGATTACTGGAGGAGAACAGTGATTTCAGTTTTAGATTTGGGGATTTTGAATGAATAAACCAAATAAAAAAGAAAAGAAAAAATACTTAACTAAAATACAAGAGGAAATAGCACGGTATAACCAGTTTTCGGACTGGTCATTCAAAAATAGCCAGCGTTTACCAAGCCAATGAAAAATATCCACTATTTTGCTGCGGCAGAGACCGGTCCAGCATAATATACTGGAATTGAGTGCACCTGTGTATGAACTCCAGCATATTATGCTGGACCGGTATACTTTGCTGGCTCCAGTATATTATGCTGGGCCGGTATACTTATTGGAACTCCAGTATATTATGCTGGAGTTCTAGTGTACTTATGCTGGAACTCCATCATATTATGCTGGAGTTCCAGCATACTTATCTTGGAACTCCAGTATAATATGCTGGAGTTTAAGTATACTTATGCTGGAACTCCAGCATAATATACTGGCGTATTTTTCTGGGTTTTGAACAGTATTTTCGCTCAGATTTTTCTTTACATGAAAAGTAGCTAAATTTCGATTACCTTTGAAACTGGACTATTTTTGAACGACCAGTTGTAAATCTGGCTATTTTTGAATTTCACCCAACATTAGCCCACAAACATGAGATTTGAAACCCGAGCTCAACTCCAAAAAAAAAAGGATAAAAAATAGAAATAGGATTTGAACTTCCTAATTTTACTTTGCAAAGGTGCACCAAATAACAATTGCATCATAGGACTCTTTGAGCTTGGGTGTACACATATAAATCTAATTTTTTTTTTTAATATATACTAACATTATTATACATAGTGTAGGGAGAGGAGCATGGATCCATGTGCCCCATACTCCTCGACATAGATAAGCCCCTGCTTTCGGAAGCTCACCTTCCTTGTTTTGATTTTTCTATGATGAGGCTAAAAATAAATGAAAAAATCACATAATATTCTTGTCTCTTCCCATGATTGTCACCATTTTATTGACCTCAAAACCTATAACTTATTGCTAGTTATTTCTTCTCAAAATGTGTAAAATTTGAACTTTGAGAGCCGTTAGCAATTAAAAACTTCAACAAATGACAAAATATTATGGTTCACCTATTTGGGAGTTCAGAGAGTGGTGAACTTAAATCAAACTATGTAATAATCAACAATGGCGCATGTCATATGACAGATGAGTACACCAGGATGAAGCAGTGACATCATTGTAAATGAAAATTATAGTCATCTCATATTTGTGAATAAACCCACAGGCTACCTACAATGCAAAATGCCTCGTTCTATAATCCAGTTGTTACATCCAACGAAAATAAGTAGTCAGTTTCAGTGCCTAATACAAGTCAATAAGGTTACACTAGCTCAAACTAAATAAGAATGTAGACACACCGTTATACATAAGTCACAAAAAGGAATCACTGTCTAAATTAAGAATGTGTAGTAGCATTTTACAAGTCTGGACACCTATGATCTCCACTCACTAGAATCTTACATTTTATTGTCATAGCCATTGGTACCACCTTCTCTGCTAGCGGTTGTTTCTTTCTTTGGAGCTAGAGTAATCCTATCTGCGTGAGCAACGGCCCATTTGCTAAAATCTGGGGAAGAAACAAGCTCTTCCATAGCCTTCTTTGTGGTGTCTCTAGTTAACTTATTCCACTCATCTTTTGAAAGTTTCTTCCGTGCAGGAGTGTTGTGGGATGTAGAATCGAATATATCTGTCTCTGATAACAAAGCTTGACGGCTTGATAGGAGAACATGCAGGAAAAAAACATGTAAGAGATGCTCCACCTTGCACTTCATCTACTAATAACTAATTCAGTTTAACCTCGACCGATTGTGTCATTTCGATTTCTCTCGGAAGTCCTGGAACTATATGACCCTTTTATCAGTGATGTGTAAGAATCCTGAGATTCCCAGAGATAACGCATGTCTATTTGTAATAAATTCCTGCTTTGCATGAAAACGGCAGTGTGAAAATATGAAGTTACTGCAAAAGTAAAAGTCCTCCGCCTATATGCATAACAATAGAATAAAAAGACCAGACTACATAAGCATCAACTAGAAATTATTGGGAGAAATGAGCTACAACAACAACAACAAACCCAGTATGATCCCAACAGATGGGGTCTGGGGAGGGTAGTCTGTACGCAGACCTTACCCCTACCTAATATAGGTAGAGAGGCTGTTTCCAATAGACCCTCGGCTCAGGAAGGGTGAGAAGAAGAGGAAAGCAAGGAAGAAAGAAAGAAGGAAGCGAAAAGAAAAAGGGAGAGATAAATGAAAGTAGTACCAAATAATAGCAACAGGGAATACAATACCTGAGACGAACAAAACCACATAACGTAAAAATCTAAGAATATGAAGGGACATGCATGCTACTAAGACAATCGGTGAACAACTAAAAACTACCCACTAACCTTCTACCTTAATCCTCGACCTCCACACCCTCCTCTCAAGGGTCATGTTCTCAGTGAGCTGAAGCAACGTCATGTCATGTCTAATCGCCTCTCCCCAGTACTTCTTAGGCCTACCTCGACCTCTTCTCAAACTCTCCATGGCCAACCTATCACACCTCCTAACAGGAGCATCAATGTTTCTCCTCTTCACATGTCCGAACCATCTCAGCCTCGACTCCTGCATCTTGTCCTCCACGGGGGCTACTCTCACTCTGTCCCGGATAGCTTCATTCTTAATCATATCTCTCCTGGTACACCCACACATCCATCTCAATATCCTCATCTCTGTTACTTTCATCTTCTGCACGTGGGAGTTCTTGACTGGCCAACACTCAGCCCCATACAGCATAGCCGGTCGAACCACCACTCTATAAAACTTACGCTTAAGTCTTGGAGGCACATTCTTATCACATAAAACACCGGAAGCGAGCCTCCCCTTCATCCATCCCGCTCCGATGCGTGTGCGACATCTTCGTCAATCTCCCCATTACCCTGGATAATAGACCCGAGATACTTAAAACTCGCTCTCTTGAGGATAACTTGAGCATCAAGTTTTACCTCTACGTCTGCTTCATAGGTCCCGTCAATGAATCTGCACTCCAAGTATTTTGTCTTGGTTCTACTCAGTTTGAAACCTTTAGACTCCAAGGTCTGTCTCCAAACCTCCAACCTCGCGTTAACTGCGCTTCGCGTCTCGTCAATCAGCACTATATCATCGGCAAATAGCATGCACCAAGGCAGCTCCCCTCGGATGTGTCGCGACAGTACATCCATCGCCAAGGCAAATAAAAATGGGCTAAGAGCCGATCCCTTGTGCAACCCCATCAACACAGGGAAATGCTTTGAGTCCCCACCCACAGTCCCTGCCCGAGTCTTAGCATCATCATACATATCCTTAATCACCCTAATGTACGCTACCGGAACGCCGCTAGCCTCCAAACACCTCCACAGGACCTCCCTCGGGACTTTATCGTACGCTTTCTCAAGGTCAATAAACACCATATGCAAGTCCTTCTTCCTCTCCCTGTACTGCTCCACTAATCTCCTTACTAGATGAATCGCTTCCGCAGTCGAACGCCCTGGCATGAATCCAAACTGATTCTCAGAAATAGACACGCACCTCCTCACCCTGGCCTCCACCACCCTCTCCCAAACCTTCATAGTGTGACTCAACAGCTTGATACCCCTATAATAAAAATAAAAATGAGCTAAAACAATAAAAATAAAGGCAGACTCACTTGCAAAAGCGCAAAACATATTTGGGACGGAACAATCTCCTCAAGACTAGCGAAATCAGAACTCCACGGATCAGTGCCTCCAAAACCAATAAAAGATCCAGAGAACTCTGAAGAAAAAATAAAGCTATGTAACTGCCCAATTAACTCCAGTAAGCGCTACAGACTACCAAAAGTGTGAGAATTTTGGGGGATCAAATGAATAGGTGGAAAAAAAAAGTATTCCTAGCCATGATAGAAACCTGAATGATCAATCCCGAAGCAAAAACTCGAATGGACCAACCGACATATTGAGATACTCCGATGTCAATGGATCCATCTTCTACAAGTACAAGTTTGTGAACAACCCAAAACCCCAACCAAGTTCCAGCTAAAAAAAAGGGCAGCCCGGTTCACAAAGCATCTAGGGAAGGGCCGCACTCCGAGGGATGTGATGTAGACAGCCTAAAAAGCATTAGTGGATGCTTCCACGGTTCGAACCCGTGACCTGGTCACACGGAGACAACTTTACCATTGCTCCAAGGCTCCCCTTCCCAACCAAGCTCCAGCTATTACGAGGAAAAGCAGCAGAATTTGCAACTGCAAAAAATGTTCAGTGCATCACCCAAAATTCTCCGGAAAGCAGAATGCTCAATGCCGAAACCAAAAGGTAGATTGCACTTACAAAAACTCTATTATCTATCATGAAAAAAACAACAGGAGTTTGCAACATACACTTTTTTGACATTAATTTTGGACATTAACTAAAATAGAGGCACTCAACATCAAGCTATCTGAGGTAGATTTTCATTGGCATGAGGACCCTTAGAAAAAGGTTTTCCTAACACCGATATATTGAACGAAACGAATGGATAGAGCCTTAGTTCCAAAATATAAGTAAGACAACTAATAGAACCAACAATAAGAACTTACATACAGGGTTATACATGTCTTCACCAATACCAATCTCGTTAAGTATTGAACGCAACAATTGTGGCACATAGCGCAGAAAGAATGATCCCACTCCAACCTAAATGAAAGAAACTAGCAACGGTTATTATGAAATTTAAAAAGATAGACAAAGAATAAACACTAGGATTGTACTTATAGTAGCAAAGATTCCCACAATGGATGAATACAAGAATATTGCTAGTGAATTCTTCCTACCAGTTGGAAGAAGCTTCATCCCTTGTCATTAGAAGCACCTCAATGTCAATCAGAAAACTTCAACATTAAAACATGATATATACTTACATGCATGGTATACAGCTGCTATGCATATAGCTCAAACATAAAACATTGAGCATGTAACTTTTTTGGGCCCCGGGAATTTCTCGGTTATTAAATTAGTTAACATTGATATAAAGTTTATTCTGATTAGTTAACGTTGATATGGATGATATACATCATATGATTCATTTGTTAGTTGGAGTAATGTTTCTAATGGTAATGTCCAAAATTGTAAATAGGGCACCCTAAATTTCTAGATTGGCTCCAAGATCGACTTATCTTTTTACTAAGCTAAACTACTTGAACAAATAAAACTCTCTTAGCGGACTTCAACAACAAACATATTCCCACAAGTGGGGTCTGGGGAGGCTGGAACTTACGCAGCCTTACCCCTTCCTTGGAAAGGCTTTAAGGGATCGTTAGGTATGCGGACTAAATTATCCCGACATTATAGTCCTGGCAGCTGGGAGATGGGATAAAATAATACTCCCTCCGTTCCAATTAATGTGAACTTGTTTGACTGGGCACGGAGTTTAAGAAAAAAAGAAGACTTTTGGAATTTGTGGTCCTAAACAAGTCAAAAAGGGGTCCTGAGTATTTGTGTGGTTATAAAAGCTTCTCACTAAGGGTAGAATTGTAAGTTTAAGCTAAATTGTTTCCAAATTTAGAAAGGGGTCATTCTTTTTGGAACGGACCAAAAAAGAAATAGGTTCACATAAACTGGAACAGAGGGAGTACCATGTTTGATGGGATAAGATGGGATACCCAGGATTAAGTTGGTTGGCGGTATAAATTTATCCCGAATACATTTATACCTCCAACCAAACATAATATAAATTTAGTACCACATTTTATCCCACCTTATCCCGCGTACCAAACGACCCCTAAGAGACCTCTTGTACATCTCTAAAGGGCAGCCCAGTGCACTAAGCTCCCGCTATGCGCGGGGTCCGAGGAAGGGCCGGACCACAAGGGTCTATAGTACACAACCGTATATCTCGAAAAAATGTTCCTCAACAATAAAGATTTGGCACGTGATAAAGCACCCAAATTTTTAGATATGCATCAAATCATTATAATTTATTTACAAGTCAAACAGATACAACTTTAACGAATACTAAGAAATATAAGGAAGGTGGAGACAATTAACATACCATGTGATTCAGAGTAATGATTTACCACATACTTGTGCTGAGACTTGAGAGCTGGGTAGGATTGATAGAAGAAGGATTATATATCATACACCAACATTATATATATGTTTGACAAAATCTTAATGCATTTGATGAAATTGTCAGATCTACATAAAAAACAATAATTCACCAATAACAAAAGCAGCCCATGAAGCAAATATATCAAGCTGCCAGCTACAGATCTATTATGATTTTTCAAAGCAAAAAAAGTTATCATGCTAAAACCACTTTCAATGGAAAGCATGAAATAGACTACGAGAAGAATCAGACAGAGTTTCCTCAGTTCTTAGAATTTAAATAGCAGAGAAACAAAGGACTAGTGGCCCGCCTATGGAAGCAGACCTCAGCATTACGGCGGACGCCCACTTGGATTGATATATGATACTTCACCTTTACTGAATGGGCGTACTTCCTCAGATTTTTTAGCCTTGACAAGCCATGTGTTTGAACTCTCTCACAAATGACTTTAGTTCCTGGCTTAGAGCCAGGAGAGTTTTCCGCCACTATTCCGGGAGATATCTGTAGTGTGGTAGATTGAGATACAGCTGCCGAATACAAAAAAAAAGGAAATGATATAAGGTTTAACCAACATCTAATAGTTGAAGGAAAATCTACCATTTCATAGTATAAACACGTTATAGGAGCTCATGCTTGGATCTATGCTCTACTACCAACTAGTCAAAAGGGAATGCTAAAAACTCCACGCAACACTTTTTCACGTAAGGATCACCTCTTACCAGTCAGCCACATATCCAAAATGTTGGATTTATGCAGGGGCACCAAATTAAAATCGAGATTGAACATCAAAGCAAACTCAATAAGAGATAGAACACAATGTGCAAGTACTTAACTATCAAGTAAGAGAAGGGAAAGTGCTCTGGGAGTATGCCGAAGCTTATAGATTATTACCTCTTTGAGAAAAATGAACCAATAAATATTTCTACTACTAGGTGGTTATTGTCCGTGCCAGCACGGGCCCAATATTACTTGGTTTTGTGTGAAAGGGCTGATACTAAAAATTGATGCATGTAAGTTAGTATCTAATTAGATAAGAACCACTACAGGCACACTAATTGCTGGATAATATTTATATACATTTTGGATCAAAATATACATTCTTTATCTCTATGGTAGCATCATGTTAGTAGATTCTTAAAGTCCAAAATGTACATTCCTTTTCAGATTCTTGCAGGCAGCTGAAAATACTTTTCGGCGGAAGCTCAGTGCCTTCTTCTTAATTTTTTTTTAAAACCAAAAATCACCTGAAACAAAGAAGCAAGACAACAGATATCTGTCAAAGTGAAGGTGTCAAGGTGGAAGAAAAGAGGACACATTTAAATGGTAGCAGCCTTCATGAATCTCAACAGATTCAATTTGGAAAGAGCAAAAAAGGCAAAGTAATTTAAGAGAGTAAAGCATAACGGAGCATGCTAAATACACTATCAGAACCTTTTCTGAGCATTTAACTCAATTAATTCTATAAGATCAATAGTTTCACCAAATCTAACAATGTTTGGACAACGGAAGATATAGCTCATCTATGTGCAAACAGACACAAGTACCAGAGACGGTGTGGAAGGAACCTGCTATTTATATTTGTTCAGCCTTACCTATCTATCAAAATCACAATTCTGGCCTTTAAATACTGTTTTTGTAAACCATTAATTGGTTTTATCAAGCCAAAAGCTCTCAATCTCAAAATGGCTAGAACAATGTAAGAGTAAAAGAGCTTTCTTGAAGGAAATAACAAAGAGCAAAAAGCTTAAGCTTTTGCACTACCCTTACCTCCTTGTTAGAGCTAACAAATACTCACAATCTTGAGCAGAAAGGATGAAATTTGAACAAAAATCATATAGTAAACCATGATATGATAGTACCTTTTACCAAGAGGAGAAGAGTCACAGATATTAACTATGTTGCTCTTAACCTTACAAGAGAAAAAATTATCATAAGAAAATACAAAAAGACACAGAGAAAGGGTGAATAAGGCTAACAATAAAGTGAAGGAGGTGGAGGAATAAAATGCTTTTGAATTTAAGTGTTTAGAGATCGACTGATATTTGTGCCTTTATTAGGTTAGTATTTTTCACTTTTCTAAAATGCTGCTTTAAGTTAGCATTTTTGTGGATGAAAAAGAACCTTTTGTCAAGTACTCGCACTTCATATAACGAGAATACCTTGATGCTACCATAAAAACACAGTCAAGAAGAGCTTTTCAATGCAAATCCAATAGCTCTTTACAAGCTGATTGATTACCCTGTTATTGTACAGAGATATAGCGACGGGAAAATGGCAGAGCCACAAAAGAGCTGCATAGCATACCCCTTTCAACCCCTAGTTGCAATAGTTGTTTTCAAGGGATATTATGGTTTGATTTTGATACTAAATACCTTTAGTAAGACTGATCGAAACTAAAGCCAGAGAACACAGAGCATATACAGAAGGAAACAAAAATGAATGGACCTGGATCTTAGAAGTTAAAAGTACTGAAGAGTTTGATGTGTAACCAGCTGGACTAACCTAATAGTACAGCAACAAAAAATGACTGTAGCAGCATCTAGAAAAGAGCAACAAAAGTAGTTCCGCCCGCATCCAGAACAACTTTAAAGGTGTTTGTAGTAACATCCAAGAAGAAGCAGCATAAGTGGCTTCAACTGCATCCAGAAACATCAGCAGAAAGTGGATCCAGTCGCAACCCAAAATAGTAGCAAAAGACCTTTCACTGGCGAGTGGCGACTAAACCAATAAATAACATTCAATCGAAGTATCTTTTCTAGATTGACTTACCTTGTTGCAACCTTGCTCTTTGATTATTCAAAAGTGGAAGACTGAACCTTGTTCGTTGATTAATTATTTACTTTTCATTACCGATTACCTGTAAATTGTCTTCTAATTGTGACTGGCAGAATGACAGTCAATATAGAATTAGAGACTTTGACGAAGTACTTTTGGGTCTTACTTGCTATAGTAGACACACAAAATGCCAATTTGAATTATAGCCATTATATTAACCATGGGCTAGCTTTTAATTTGTGTTTGCAGGGTAGTGCATGCATCTATCTGAGCGAATTGATTTTTTACAGCAAATTGAGTTCTCAAGTGACCTGTCAAGGTCGCTATTTTTCGTCTCCATAGGCAGCAATGGCTCCACCAACAACTATCTTAAGCCTACATTTTATGACTCTAGCAAACGTTACTCTCTTGGATCTTTTGCTAAACTTCTCACTGATACACTTTCTCAACAGTTTCAGGCAAGCCCTTCTACATTTGGAAATCGCCACCAAATCTAAGTACAGAATCCATCCTCTACTCTCTGAAGATTATGGAACTACATCAAAGTTTGAAATTAGAATTTGGATATTTAAAGTATCCTGACCTGTTGTTTTAGATGAAATTAGCTAACAGTCAACCAAAAGATTCCAACCATAATCAACAGAGATACATGCATTCCACAATCAGAAACCCAAATAAGCCTGCTGCATAGTCCTGACTAAATATAGAGGAAAGCAAACACTTGAGACGGAAAGAAAGGAAAGAGAGAAAGTTCACCTTTGGTTCCGGTGAAGAGCTTTAAATAGTCTCTCCTTCCTGACTTGCACTCTTCTCCCTCATGCCTTACTATCTAACCCCAAGTTTCATATCAGATTTAAAGAGCATCAAGAACAAAATGAATTGGAGTATATCTTTGAGAAACTGAAGAGAAGGGAAACAAATGAAGGAATAAGATACGGCTGAGTAAGAAATGAAGATGTGTTGGCTGCAAAAACAAAAGCCACCACAGGAAGCAATACCAACTAAGTAATTGAAATGACTAAATAGCCCTCAGGTTTGAATTAAATTCCACGAAGCACACACGTCAAAACCTAGCTCTTCTAATATATAGAAATAACTCATTCCCGGCTTTAACTAAATACCTGCAGTCTATGGTACTCCAACTAAAGGACCAATATTAGAAGATTCATGTACAGTGAAGAACTGATCTGTGTTCAGGGGCATAAGGCTCCAGTAAGCACCATTATTGTCTATACAACAGCTGTGCCATTTGATTTGGTAAGAACCCACAGGAAATGCAGAAACATCTAGCAAGCAGGTTGCAAATCCTTGCCCTTTCTCATTAGGATCAAAAGACATAAATTTATCCACAACTGAAGTCCCTTCAGCACTTCCCATAGCATGTAATCCACCCCTCTTGGGAGACCCTGTTGTAAAGTGCAATAGCTTGTCATTAAGGTCTACCATGTGATTGCTTTTCCAAGCCTGACAACTGGACTCTGGTACTTTCTTATCCTCGCTTTCACTAAATATTTGAAAGGATGTTCGTGAGTGAAGGATGCAATACAACTTTGACACCCGAGACAGCTGATCTGGAGATATATTTCTTAGTTGAATGCACAGAGTTAGAGGGAGCTGAAAGCCTGACAAGACAGATATATTATCTATCCTTCTACCAGCTTCATTTGTTATGAAAAGCTCAGCAGAAATGGGAGGCCTGCCATTTCACGGTTCATAATTAGAATACAATCAAAATTAAAGAATGCAAAACTCTAGAATCATTATATTTTAAAGAAGAATCCACTATTATTTTAGATGATCTGTTGCTATATATTCCCACTGGAGACATTTTAGATAAAAAGGGGACGATGGCATCTGAGCATGAGTTGGCTACCATATGAAATATAAAACAGACTAACAGCAGTAGAATATCAAAACATTTCCAATAATAGCTCCAGATCCTCTTATTGATTGCAAAGTCCACGTAGGAAACTTCAGTTACCTCAATCGAAAAAAGTGTTTGGGAGTCCGGAAAGGGATCTGTATCCACGAGAAAATAATGTTGAACAGCAACTGCAAAGCATCACGGGGAATTTGGGATATACCAGTATTGACATGTACAGTACTCGCTTGCAAACTAAGAAATCTCTGAACAGAATATCTACAAAGTTTAGCAACATCTCTTGCTTCAACACTAGAGGAAGAAATTTCATTTTGGAGTTCTTTCATGGAACAGCTCCTAGAACTTCGACGGAAATCCAAAAGCTGCCGTAAATTTTTGCTAGTCGCTAAGTCTATGTAGCCCAGTCTCCTTAATAAGTCATGAACCAGCAGAGTATGAAATTGCTCCTCTGAGGTTTCAAGACCATAAATACTACAATCTTGTTTACCATGGGAACTGACAAAAATAAATGTTAATCCAGTACTAAAGGCTAATAGTGAACAACCTAATCCAAGATCAGAAACTATCTTCATACTTTTTCTGTCCATGCCAATGAATGACGCTCCTAAGAGATCAAATTCTCTTGCTAGCCTCATGAGCTGAGAAGAAGCGTGGGCAAGCAATTGCAACAAAGAGCTGAGTCCTTGTGAAGATTCCGACTGCTGAACCAAAATCCTTTGTCGTTCAGTACTTCTGGAGGCTTCTTCTGAAAACGAATTTGTGCTCAATAATTTGAGTACATCTGCTACCGTTCCAACAACCTTTGATCTTATAGTAATAAACCATCTCTGGAAACTAAAAGCACGACCAGAAACAGAGGTACCAAAAGCTTCCTCTAAAGAACAAAGTTTGTTGGAGGCCCCGACAACATTTTCAATTTGATTAACTGACGTAGTTTCCCCGGCAGTATTTCCAGAAAGAGTAAGCCTGAAAACTGGATTGCCTTTCTAATTCCTGAAAGACGGGATAAGGATTTCAACCACAAACAACAGATATCAGATCGAACCATAGGAATTAGATCCCCAATATGTAAGCAGCTACCAACATGCACCATGACATGCCGCATATTTTCCAAGCTTATAAGACGACCAGTAGTCTTTTTTATCCAAAATTTCCTTCACACAGTCAATAATGAGACTTTCATTCTGGGATAGGGAACCATAAGCTGAGAGAGAACTACAACGAGATAAACGAAAATTTCTATTAGAAACCGTAATCTTCCCCTATCTTCAGCCACATACAGTGATATCCAGCATGGAAGTGCAATAAAAGGTGATATACTACGTGGATATAAACAGGAAGTAAGCTGCACCGGTGCACATGCTCAACCAAATGCTCCATTCTGTTAAAGACTTGGGCGGCACCAGCAGTGGAAACTTCCAGCATTTCAAAGCAAGTTATCAGAATCTGGGATAAACAAATCAAAACTCTCGATGCAGTTGATGTATGGTTCTCTTTGTCGAGCTCTGTTATATGATGATCTTCTGAGCCTGAATTCTCCATGCTGGTAACTTCATTGAGCATGCGGACCAGATGTTCGATAACTATACAGATCTTATCCAATACAATACCAGAGAGATCTCGATGCCTTTCAACCAGATTAACTAAAATAAAGAGTAAACTCTTTACCTCCTGCTCCGCCTCTTTGTTTGGATGAGGATCATCAACCACTAACTTTATTAGTTGGGAGATACGATCGATGGTGAAAGTAATCATGTGAGATGCAACAATTGAACCAATTCCACCAGCTGCATCTTTCGATATTCCCAAAAGCTTGTAAAAAATACTAGCTAATACATGAACAGAGAAAAGCCTCTCTGAGATAATTGAAGAATGTAGTTTGAACTCAACAATTTGTAAGAACTTGGAGAAACTAGCGAGGATCTCTGTGCATGGAATTGTCTCCAGGTTGGGCAGCGGCATCTGCAAAGTAAGAGAACGTAAACAGTAGGCCTGTGATGCCAATACCATAAATTTGACAGAACGAAAGAAATACCTTGTATAAAGCTCTTAGAGCTTCAAACTGTAAAGCTGGTGGAAAATCAGACTGATTTATGACACCAAACAACTTTAGAGTCACATTTGAACTGGCATGGAAGTGATAAATTCCTTTGGCTAAAATGAAATGGAGGCATTTTAATGCCAAAGCTTGCAGGCTCAAACCTCTGTCCTTTGCCATAAATGAGAAAAGTAGTTCCATCTGGTAAAGAAAAGTAATTTCATCTGTTACCAAAATCCAGTAATAAATATGCAAAAAATCAGGTAGAAAGTACAGTAGATGTCCCTGATTTCGATATTATATAGTCTATGATTCAACTAGTTGCAGAGACAACCTCAGTCATGATTAATATAGTAATATCGCATGCCTTACATATTAAACAATCAATCAACTGTACCTAAATCCCAACCTAGTTAGCCTAAGTAAATATGATTCTTCTCTATACATTGTGCTTTATTCAGGCCTATTTCATTCTAATATTGGTAAAGAATTGGTCTTTTAAATTAGGGGTTCTCTAAAGCTAGAGATTCCCTATACTTAGCACTTATGCTTACTCTGGCAGAAGCTTCTCTAAAACCAGCTTCATGCCTAAAATGATATATTTGGAGGTCCACATAGGAGATCGGTGTAAACCATACTTAGGCAACCTTCTCTACGTTCCGGTTATGTACTGATTTTTATCATTTTTCAAGACTTATGACATTGTATAATTAACCTCAAATTAATATCATAAATTCCTAACACCAGCTATACACACCGTTTACCAACATATCCATCTTGTAAGATTACATAAAACCTTAAAATATGGTAGTTGCTCTTTTGTGCTTTTTGGGTCTTAAGTTTCATTTCAAGAAAATTAATTTGGCTCCATCTTATTTTTCTATTTCCTTTATCATCATTACAGTTCTTTACCATTAATAATTTAGGACTTTGAAACAACACTTAGGCCTCATTTGTTTGCACTTAATGGGGGTCTGAATCTTAATTCAGATCTCAGACATTAAGTGCGTTTGTTTTTAAAGTCTGAATCTTAATATTCAGATCTTAATCATTAAGTGTGTTTGTTTTTTTTACTTCACAACCACTTAATGGGTCTGAATAGGTCTATATGATTAAGATCCATAACAGAGACTTAATTTCATTAAGATGCTATTACATATTCATTATTAACTGCCGCCAAAGCCTACCATTATCAACTACCACCATGCCACCGCCGCCGCCGCCGCCGCCGCCGCCACCACCACCACGCCACCATCATCCTTAATCATAGCCACCACCATTATCGACCATCACCACCCACTACCCCACCACTCCGACCACCATCATTCTCACCCATAGTCAACACTCATCCACCTCAACTACCACAGCTGACCACCCAATCACCATCAACAACCACAGCCGGCGCTGCCCATCATTATAACCTACCACCACCCACCCACCACCTTCCTCAGTCACAACTACTACCACCACCCGCCAATTAACTATCACCACCACCATCCTCAATCGTAATCGCCACCACTACCAATCACTACTAGCTACTAGCATGAACCACCATCACCAACCAGAACTACCACCAACTACCGCCTCTAGTCGGCATTCACCCGTTAGCCATCACCACCAACAACTATCATATTTTAAAAAACTATATATTTTATTGATAGAATATTAGATTAGCTAGTATTTCATTTGAATTTTATATTTATTAATTTTCAAACAAAAATAAATTTTATACATTGAGGTGTTAAAAATCAAACAGTCTTTAATTATATAGTATCCAGATCTTAATACACATCTTAATATATTCAGATGTGCATTCAGATTCAGATGTCTTAATCTTAATACACATCTTGACATTCAGATGTGTATTCAGATTCAGGCGTCTTAATCTTAAAAAAAAAACAAATGAGGCCTTAGCTTCTATTTCTTTTCTTATTTTCCTTATCACTTTTGTAGTTCTTGCCTCTCTCTTTGTACGTTTGTTGGCAATAGAGAACAATGAAAATCAAAATAAATGAGTAAAATTATATACCTGTATAGGAATTAAAGATGTCCATTTAGAAGCAATTTTGGAAAGTGAAACTAGCATCACCAACGAGAAGTCTTCTTCCGAAGATTCTAGGATAAGCTTCATACCAGTCTGCAATATCAGAAAGGTCCACTTTAGCGCTGCAATAGAAATTTGAACTCACTTCTGCATGTAAGCAAGTGGTCAGAAAATACAGGTGTACCTGGTATCGTTAAAAACCTATTTTATTGAAGTTGTAAGTTGCAACAAGAAACTATTGCAACAGTCATTAATAGATTATACCTAGCGTTTCATGCATACAAAGGAAAAACATTGCATTCACCATGCATAAGGTTGCCGTCTCTATGACTGTTAACAGTATGGTTTCTGAAAAATGTTTTGTTCGAAAAGCAAGCACTTTTAGAGCAAAACGAAAAGGGAAAGAAGGATAAGGGGCCTGTGTAATGCGCCAAAAAGTGTAATCAGAACGCCTGCATGTGCTTGGTGGCAGAAACACATATTGAAGAGAAATACTGAACCTTATGAGCTCTATCCGCTAGTACAAGTGAGCACCACATTTTAGCAAAAGCACGTCCTCCTGCTAACCTTATAACCCTTGATGTTTCAGATGACATCAGCAGACCTCCAAGCATTTCCAGAAATACATAAGCAAAGTCGTTCGCCAATTCAGAAAAGCATCCAGCTGCAAACAAAGAAGCCTTTGCCTGTAGATAGATGCAAAATGTTTGTATCAGTTATCATTCATGCCAAAAGTTAGACGCAAACAGAAACAATATGTAGTTAGTGTTACCTCAATCTCTGGACTAAAAGAAAAAGAACGCAAAATAAGATGGTCAAGTATTGGCGACAAAATGAAAAAGCGAAGTTCTCTACGGACAAAGGAGACAATGATCAGAGTGATACCCCTTTCACATTGATTAGGAATATCAGACAGATGAGGAGGGCAGTGGGGACGATAGCGAAGAAAGGAACCACGAGAGGGTCCATAGAGGATGAGATTGCCTAATGCTTGATTAACTCCTTTTGCCCCTTAGAAGTTTGATCATGCTGAAACTTCCACAGTTAGTTTAATTGCTAGAGGGAGATTATCGCCTCGGAGCATAATTTTTCATAGGAGGTAAGATGATCAGACCTTTCCCAGGGGCACAAAAAACAATTCCAAACATAAATTCTTGCAGTTGCCCAATGATCCATCCATAATGCGGTTAAAGGGATCAAATCCCTAATGCTTTTTCAAGAGTTAAATTTTTTTAGATCTATTAATCACCTATCTTGTGTCTGTCTTAAGAGCCTTTGGTCAGTAAAGACAAGATTGAAGGATTTAGGAAAGAACTTGGTTTTGCCATTGTTTTGATAACATAAACGGGAAACTGTGAATATTTTTGGACTCCTATTTTGACTATTAGATCAAACAAACAGCATGTGAGTCTTCAGCTAAAACACTCTGAATATAAAACTCTCCAGTTTGTGTTACTTGCATAGTTGCATTTATCACAAATGCACAGCTAGAAGGAGATAGCTCTAAGGGAGCAGACTAGAGCCTCAGAAGAAAATTCAGAAGGTCCACGGCACATAGAGGGAGACTTTAATTTTATATTTTTCCCAGAAGAAAATTTGAGAGGACTGCCTCACAGATTGACAAGAAGTTTTGATTTTATTTCTCGACACCTAGAACCAGAATTGGAACAAGGTGCTTCCTTCCAAAGTCTACTTTTTCATGTGGAGGCTTTTGTAAAGTTATACATGGTACCATTCAGATTTCAGATTTTTTGGCATAATGCGTGAGCGTGGTACACGTTCCACAGTACCATGGAGAACTTATTTATGACAGGCGGGCTAGCTGCCAAAATCTGGAAACTATTCTGAAACATATTTGGGGTGAAATGGCAGGAAATCTAGATCATTCATATCCTACAATGCTCTTCAGCACACTTTCTCCAAATCATCCCTATAATTGTGTATTGGGATTTGGGAACTAGGAGCCATAGACGAGCAAGCAGATTTTCCAAACAAATGTGTTATGGACAGGGGGAAACATCTTGTACTCCTACACCTTAATAAAGTCATCCCTAAACTAAATCTTAACAAGCAGTGGATAATCTGTTGTGATGAAATTTCATACAAGCCCCATATGGACTGTAAAGTCGTTTACTGGGAAAAAACAGTCAGCAATATTGGGCTAATACAACAACAACTACTATGCCTTAGTCCCAAACAAGTTGGGGTTGGCTATATGAATCGCTGACCACATTACTCCATCTAAACTCATTTCATGCCAATATTATGCACATATAAATAATATGAATATTAGGTAAATAATGTCAAAATAATATGTAGTGCTGAGTAATATGAGCACGTCTTACCTCCAGAACATGCATAGACACCAAGCTTGAAAGGATGAGGTATCTTACATCAGCACTATCTTTTGCAATATGAGCCCAGCAACCAAATAGAGCTAAAGCCAATGCTCTCTCTTCAACGTCTCCAGTGTCGAATACTATCTTTATTCTACTTAGAAGTTCTCTATAGCTATCCAATTTATCCTTCGAAAGGATCCCTTTATCTTTTCTCCCCTTGCTCCTCAATCGCCTCCTCTGCTTGAGCTCGGACAAGAAAATCTTAACAATGCAAAGCTTCATATGTTTGTCCCCCGACTTAAATGCATCTGCAAGCCTAAGGAGGATAGTATTTGCAAATAGCTTATCCTCCCCACGAAGTAAGCCGAATACTTTGTACTCAGCAGCACTAAGATTTGACTCTCTACTCCACCACTCAAGTTTTGGCCCAATATCTAGTATGGCTTCTGCAGATTTACCTAACCATCATGAGAAAAAATACACAAGTATCACTCAGAAACGATAAAGTTATTGCAAAATGGATTAAACCAAACAATGATTCTTCACAACATTTAAGAGACATTGACAATCAAACTGGAATCATCATTGAAAATTGTAAGAGCAAAAGACTTTCTTATAGAAAACGACAAAGAGGGTGTTTGGGTGGGCTTAAAAGCTGTTAAGCACTTTTTGACTTATTTTGGTGTTTGGTAAACACCAAAGGTGCTTTTAAGCCAAAAGAAGCCACAAGTTGTTCACCCCTTACTTATGCTTTTTAGTTTACAAGCTCTTTGAGTTTGACCAATTATTTTACTATGTTATCCCTTGAATTTTCTTATACTCTCCAAAATACCCTTCATTTCACACTCCTATTTATTTTTGTTTTTCTGTTCCGGAGAAGCTGTAGTTTTCTTTCTCTTCAAAGGCCAACACGTAAGTGATAATTCCATCCCTTATAATAAGTATTACCATTATCTACAAATATCATCTTGCCATTTGACCAAACATCCAGTTTGAAGCAGATTTTTAATTGTGTCGATATTAGATATGAAATTTGCAAGGCTCCCTAATGAAAACTGCAACGCTCAAATGGATTTGCATATCCATTGCATTACGTTATAAATTGATCGAATGGTGGAGATAAATCAACTAATATATTGTATTTTATTGCGCTCTGTTCTTCGAATTTTAGACTCATTTTTTATTATAATTTTTAATTTAGGCATACATTTGGACAAAGTAGGCTTTGTATTATACTTTTTCCTGTGTGATAGTGGCTTAAAGTTTTGTCGTCCTCCGAAATCAGTGAATTGTGCAATTCAACTGTATTTAAGAAGATTAAATTGTAAAGCAGGGAGAATTTCTATAATGCAATAGCATAAACATATTACTTCAACTAGGATTACCCAGGATATTAATTATTTTCAAAAGTCTATAATTATATGCCTGTGATACAATATTTTCATGGAAATCAAGGCAGCATAACTTATCGCATAACTATAACTTTAGGATTAAAATTTTCGTAATAATAAGCACCTTTTAGTGTTAACAGTTTTAAGAAGACACATCAACTCCTTATTTTCAGCTTCTAACACTTATATGTCACCATTTTTTTATAAAATCACCCATAGAACTAAAATCCTAGATCCGACTCTGCTACTAAGATTTAAAAAGTAATTTGCAGCACTTGGTGCTTAAAAGCTACTTTTATTCAACTAAACAGAAGGAACTCTTAATTTAATTAACAAAAAGTATAACTCACCAGGTTTATTAGAACGGAGGCCCTTTTCAAGGTCAATGCTCCACTGCATCGCACAAGCCGATGGAGTTCTCTCCATTCTTATAGTCTTGAGAGGGAACAAAATTTGTCAAAATATTGTAACTTTATAAAATCGGAAAGAGATACAACAGGTATCAGAAGAGAGGGAGAGGAAAATTTTGTCTATACCTGGGACTTATTTGCTCCGCGAGGGCCGTTTGGAAACACTTGCCAAATTAGGATTAATATTTGTCAAACTTTGGCAAAAAATAATGTACTCTCAAGGCTCAACAAAGTTTCTCAAAGCGAAAGAAAGGGAAGGGAAATAGTATAGTGGTGACTCGATTTTTTGAACCACAGCTTTGAGGTTTCCACTTCCTTGTCGGAAGCAAACGAGAGAGGAGAGAAGTAGAGGAAAGTAAAGACTAAAGACAAAGCAAAGATGAATAGAATAGCACTTTTGTATTGTGACTCTCTCGTCTCTTGCCTTTACATTCAACACTCTCTATTCTTTGCTAAGAAATATGCTGCTTTTCTCATATTTCGGGTCCAGTCAAACTTGGGATTTGATTCTTTTTCTTGTTCTTTTTTAATTTATTTTCAATTTAATTAGGGTGTGGTGGACCCCTCGTTGCTTAAGTGCTCAAGCCTATTTGGCGATGATGGAGGCCAAAAGTACTTTTTTTTTTTCCTTCAAAAAAGTACTTTTAAAAAATTTTAAACTGTTTGGTCAAGACTGAGCAGTTTTTTTTATTTTTGGGAAGAAGTATAAAATTCTAGCTTCTTCCAAGAAGCAGAAGTGGAAAATTAATTTATTCAAGATAAAACTATCCTCGCCATAAAATTATATTTTCCAAATTATCCCTTACTAATTTAAGTTTTTTCTTTTCATTTTTGTTTCTAGTTTTTACCGTTCTTTTAAAATTAAAGATATCATATACATGAATCATATTGTAACTTTCCAAATTCTTTATTGACTTTTCTTGTTCTTAATTTGTTCTTTGTGTAATGTCTTGTAACTTTCCAAATTATCTTCTTCTTTTTTGACACTAAAGCAAATTATCTACATCCTTCTTTGGATTTTATCAAATCTCTTCCTACAAATAATCATGTATAATTTCTTCTGTTATATGCTATTAGTTCTCGAATCTTTAAAACTGTTATCAAATCTAATTTGTGAAAATTACCTACAAATAGGTAATAAATTTTCAGTTCCATCGCATAATCTATCTATATATTATTAAAAGAAGAAGAAGAAAAAGCATCACAAATTAAGCCAAGTGGTAGCCTGAAAATAGGACATTTGGCAATTTAGGACAAAGTTAGTAAGGTTAGGTAATACTAATTAGTTTCTTTTTGAATTTAAATTTTTAAAAAAAAATTTACATTAATGTGTTGTTAATAATTAGTTACTCTTTTTGAATTTGAATTTAAACATACTTAACTATTTTTTTACAAAAAAAATAATTTACTTTATATATTTAAAATTATTTCTATTTTACGTTCAACGCCATCTTTCAAATTTGGCACTCAAAATCATCTGGTTACAATTACCATGGCTATACATAATTTCATCCGACGACATTCTTCTACCGATAAGGAATTCAATTATTATGCTAATGAAGAAATTACTGCTGAGATTGAGAAGGAGATGGACCTTATGATATTCCTTTAGAAATGCAAGGCAAGTCTTCTACTAATATGGAGGCATCGTGTGATAGACGTAGAGATAAAATTGTTGAGAAATATTATCATGTGTGAGTGACTTTACTTATTATTTCATGGTAGATTATCAATATATAGTAATTTGTGGAATAGACTTCTAATTCATACTGAATGATGTATTTTGATGATTCAGATCATCATGTAACAATAAGTAATTATACTAGATATATGCTTTGGTATAACTATATGTGTAAAATTGTTTTAAATCTTTAATATGTTTGTTTACTTTATGTTTTATATTTTAATTAAATAATAAAAATAATAGTCTCTTACGATAAATATTTGAGTTCATTTTTCTCTTTAAAAGAATTATAAGACTTTAGTTCTATCCTTTTTGGTAATTTGACACTCAAAAGTACTTTTTAGAAAGATTGGCCAAACACAATTTGTTTACCAATTGTTGCAAAAAGTATTTCTTAAATAAATTGGTCAAACACAAACTATTTTTTTCCAAAAGTACTTTTGAAAAAAGTACTTTTCAAAATAAGTAGATTTTGACAGTTTGGCCAAACGGGTTCTTAGTTGAGGAAACGTGTGTTTGTCTTCTTATATCTTGTTGTGTACATAATTTTTATTTTAGGAGTTAAATTTGAGGTTGAATTAGGCTTAGTATTCGATATAATGAGTTAGCATGATATCAGTACTAGAATCATTATCTTTTTCTAGAAAAGATGCTCCTAATACCATCCTCAAACAGGCACGACCCATCCACCTCCATTCCCCCCAAACTACCAGAACCACCGGATCAAATCCCCTCAAATAGTAATTCTACCATACTCTCTTCAACCAATACAAATTCTACCATGCCTGCTAATATGAATATTGACATGCAAGATCCAATCAAAGACACTTCAACACAGACAAAAATATATCTTCAAACTTTAAACTCAAACAACTTTTCTTCTACACCAAATATATTTCCAGCAAAATTTTACTTCTCAGTTGGAGAATTCCGATGAGCTGGATGCACCTACTGACTCTTCAATTTTTATACCTTTATCAGTTGAAGAAAAAACTAGACTATACCAACCATGGCAACATGCAGTGATCATCAAAGTTTATGGTCGAAAAGTTGAGCATCAAATACTTAGATAAAAAATCTATGCTCTATGGAAACCTACTGAAAATCTTCCTCTAATTGATTTAGGTCAGACTTCTTCTTATTAAAATTTCAAAAAGAGGAAAACAAAATCCATGCCTTGCAGGGTGGCCCTTGGTTTGTTTTAAATCATTTTCTCTCGGTTCGCCAATGGAAACCTAAGTTTAAGGCTTCTGAAACAAAATTAACAACCTCAGCTATTTGGGTACGTCTACCGGAATTACCTACAGAATACTATGATTTTACACAAGTTAGGCCAGAAAATAGGTAGGTTATTATCGGTGGACACTTGTACTGGTCAATATGCTAGGTTATGTGTGGAAGTATTGCTTGATCAACCTCTAAAATCACACTTATACATTGGCACCCATAAACAAATCATTCTTTATGAGGGTTTAAATTTATTGTGTGTTAGGTGTGGTCGTATGGGCCATAATCAAAGGGTTTGCAATTTTGTTATGAATGATGAAGCACATACAGACAAGTCACCACAGTGTCACGACCCCCGTTCACCCTCCATGAACATGTCGTGATGGCACCTAGTTCCTACAACTAGGTAAGCCTAACAGTGCGAAAATAACCTTTTAACTTGAGGAATAATCAATTAAAAAAAACTGAACATACGAAAAATAACAACTGAATATAAGGTCGCCCGGCCTATACAACTCTAAAGGTATGCGGAAGTCTATAACTCAATCCCAAAACCCGGAAACTCACGAAAACACAGGCTAATAGAATTACCATAAATACTCTAATCTCCAGAATATCTACATCAAAAGTATGATAGGATAACAACTCTACAACTAGAATAAGGAAGAAGACTCTTCGGTCTGCGGACGCTGCAGATGTACCTCGAAGTCTCCGTGTGTCTCCTCGCCTCAAGGATAGTGCGTCTGAGAAGAGGTACCTGGATCTGCACATGAAAAACATGCGCAGGAAGGGCATGAGTACACCACAGCGGTACTCAGTAAGTGCCAAGCCTAACCTCGGTCGGGTAGTGACGAGGAAGGTCAGGGCCCTACTAAGGTAAAATACAATATTAATTAACAGTATGAAAATCTGACAAAAATAATGAGTACATCAGTGAGATAAGACAGGCTAACGAATAATAACAACTACACAAGGAACGAAATGAACACAGAATCACTACAGCTCAATACCAAGAACAACAATGAGGGTCTCCCAGGATACCGTCCTGTAGCCCTTTTCTCAACTGTCCAGTAGATCTCCCGGGATACCATCCCGTAGTCCAACTCATGTGCCAAACCGAAGGATCTCCCGGGATACCGTCCCGTAGTCCAACCATCAATATGCAGGGGGGATCTATCGGGCATCTAACCCGCAGTCCCAAAGTAAAAGTGCAGGGGGATCTACCGGGAATCGAACCCCTAGTCCCAAAATAAACAAACAGGGGGGGGGGGAGCTACCGGAATCCCACATCCGTAGTCCCAATGTAAATGCGCAACCACAGCCAGAAATATACCAAGGAATGAAGTACGAAATACAACACAGATAGAACTAGCCTAGCATGCTTCACGTAGAACAGTCAAAACGACTCAAGCAATTAGGCAATCAAGTCAACTAAACATGCTTTTCCTAATCTAGCACAAGTTATAATTTCAAGTGGAATAAGGCAAGTAAGAAAGAAACCAAATCTCAATAACTTAAGTAAAACCGGATTTTCCATCAATCGGCTCAAGTACACGCCCGTCACCTCACGTACAAGGCACTCAAATATCAAGTAACAATCCTAAGGGGAAAGGTCCCCCACACAACGTTAGACAAGCCACTTACCTCGAACCGGCTCAATAATCAACTAGGAACCACGCCTTTGCCACGAGTATCCGACTCCAAATGGCCCAAATCCAATGGTCTTTTCTTCAAAACCCTCTGAAAATCGCCCTTCCCCGAGCTAAATTCGACTTTTCTAACTTATGAAATCAAACCCTCGAATTTTCTATATCAGAACAGGTGTTTTCGCTTTTGCGGACAAGGGACCGCATCTGCGGTCCCGCTTCTGCGGACCAACTCACCGCTTCTGCGGTTTTTCATTAAAGCCAAGAGTTCCGCTTCTGAGTTCTTAAACCGCACCTGCGGTTGCCGCTTATGTGGATTCCTTACCGCTTCTGCGGTTTCTATCAAAATCCCAAGGACCGCATCTGCGACTACTATGTCGCAGGTGCGTAACCGCTTCTGCGGTTAAACTTCCGCACCTGCAAAAACTGAAGGAACACTCGAATTTCGCTCCTGCGGTGGTCTAGCCGCTTCTGCGGTTCCCAAGCCGCAGAAGCGGAAATACCAGATGACAAAACCTTCAGCAATTCATTCAACTTCAAAATTTTCCGTCAACCACCCGAAATCATCCCGAGGCCCCCGGGACCTCAACCAAAAGCACCAATACCACCTAAAACCTTATTCGAACTTGTACCAATCCTTAAAACACCTAAAACAACACCAGAAACCCGATTTAATCAATGATTCAAGCCTAAGAACTTCAAGTTTCTTCCAAATACGCTTTCGATCAAAAACCTAACCAAAACACGTCCGAATGACCTGAAATTTTGCACACACATCACAAATGACATGACGGAGCTACTACAACTTTCGAAATTCCATTCCGACCCTCGGATCAAAAACTCACTATCGGACCGGAAACTTCAAAAATACAAA